CCCCACAGCCACTACTGACTTCACGGCTGTTCTATTCTGGGCATTGACTTCACTCTTTTATTGCAGATAAGCCTTTTCTGCTTCCCAGGGCAAACAGATGCCCACACGTGCTTCCGTCCAAAGAGCAGACAGACAGACTCTGGTGCCGCTTGGTTCTAATCCCAAAGGAATTACCGAGGGACTAAACCTGATTAGCTGAGTTTGGACTGGGTGCCAATCCCTTGGCAGCCAACAGCGTCCTGTTTCCATACTGGTCCTGAGACGGGGAGAACTATTCCTCCAATGGGGAGCTATTTCAAAAAGAGATTATAGTTTCCGAGGACTGCAAAGTTTGTGGCGTGAAACAACAGAAATTCATTATCTCGTAGTTCTGGAGGCCAGAAGTGTCAGATCCAGGAATGTTCAGAGTCCCACTCCCTCTAACTGTCAGAAGGAGGACCTTTCCCTGCCTCTTCTAGCTCCTGGTGGCTCCTGACATTCCTTAGACGATCACTGTGATCTCTAACCTCTGTCCTCAAGTGGCCTTTTCCCCTGCGTCTCTGCATCTGTGTGTCTTGAATTCCCCTCTCATTTTATTTATAAAGACACTAGTCAGGCAGTGCCCATGGCTCAGTGGGTAGGGCGCCGGCCACATACACGGAGGCTGCCAGGTTAGAACCTGGCCCCAGGCCAGCTAAAACAACAATGACAACTTCAACAACAACAAAAACAACAACACTACCACAAATAGCTGGGCATTGTAGTGGGTGCCTTATAGTCCTAGCTACTTGGGAGGCTGAGGCAAGAGAATCTCTTAAGCCCAAAGAGTTTGAGGTTGCTGTGAGCTGTGACACCATGGCACTCTGCCCAGGGTGACAGCTTGAGACTCTGTCTCAACAACAACAACAACGACAACAACAACAACTATATATATAGAGAGAGAGACACACACACACACACACACACACACACACAGAAAGAGGGAGATACAGACTAATCAGTGGATTGAAGGTCTACCCTAAATCCAGGATGACCTCATCTCAAGATTTTCATCTTAGGATGGGTGCAGTGGCCCATGCCTATAATCCTAGCACTCTGGGAAGCCAAGGCAGGTAGATTGCCTGAGCTCAGGAGTTTGAGATCAGCCTGAGCAAGATTGAGACCCTCTCTTTAAAAATTGCTGGGCATTGTGGCAGGTGCTTATAATCCCAGCTTCTCAGGAAACAGAGGCAAGAAGATCACTTGAGCTCAAGAGTTTGAGGTAGCTGTGAGCTATGATGTCACAGCACTCTACCCAAGGTGACTCTAATTAAAAAAAAATTAAAAAGATCCTTATCTTGATTAATTCTGTGAAGATTTTATTTCCAAAGAAGGTCATATTCACAGGGTTAGGATTTAGACATACCTTTGGGGGGCCACTTTTGAATTTATTATACTGCAGGGAACTATGATATGTTTAAAACAGATTAAAAATTCTAACAAAATATTCTACCTATCTTCAGTTTATCATTTAGCCTGATGTTAGGCCATACAGATTTGTAGTCAGAAAAAAAAATAAAGAAATGAAGGCAGGCAACTCTTTTTTTTTTTTAATTTTTTTTCTAGACAGTTTCACTTACTAACCCTCAGTAGAGTGCTGTGGCATCATAGCTCACAGCAACCTCAAACTCCTTGGGCTCAAGAGATTCTCTTGCCTCAGCCTCCCGAGTAGCTGGGACTACAGGCACCCACTACAATGCCTGGCTATTTTTTGTTGCAGTTGTCATTGTTGGTTAGCTGGCCCAGGCTGGGTTTGAACCTGCCAACTTTGGTGTATGTGGTTGGTGCTGTAACCACTGTGCTATGGGTGCTGAGCCAATGTCATAGTTCTTCTAATCACTAATAAGAGCTAACAAGTAATGGAGCACTTAACTACATAACTATTTCCCAGGCACCGTTCTGAGCACCTTGGTATGCTTTAATAAAGAGGTCACATGGGTTAACTCATTTAATCCCCTGACAACCCTAAAACAGAAAATTTATCCCACAGTACAGAAGAGGAAATTAATACCTATGAAGAATGAATACCTTGCCGAGTGCAGTGGCTCACACCTGTAATCCTAGCACTCTGGGAGGCTGGGTGGATTGCTATACCAGCCTGAACAAGAGGGAGGTCCTGTCTCTAAAAAAAAAAAATAGCCAAGTGTTGTGCCAGGCACCTGTAGTCCCAGCTATTTGAGAGGCTGAAGCAAGAGGATCACTTGAACCCAAGAGTATGAGGTTGGCTCGGCGCCTGTGGCTCAAGCGGCTAAGGTGCCAGCCACATACACCTAAGGTGGCGGGTTCGAATCCCCAGCCCGGG